GTATAAAACATAAATAAAAAAAACCGAAGCCTATTAAATTCTCATTTTTCACTAAAGCCAATAAACGTGAACAGCTAAGATAAAGGTATTATTATCTAATTAGCTAAATTATGTGGTCAACAAACTTGAATGCAGTCAAGTGCAGTAGCAATGTCAAAACTAATCAAATCAACCAAGCATAGAACACATAATCGTTATGCATCCGTATCGCATGTATCTCCAGCTCGGTAGATAGTTTAATGGAGTTTTGCTCATAAAATTACTGAAATTATCAGCGAAACTTAAAAGCACATATGAATATTGCGGCATAAGAGTACGTGCTGCAGTTAGAACTTTTTTCTACTTAGTCTATTTTATTTTAATTATTTCCACAATGCAATAAAATTAATTAAAATCTTGTTTCAACAAAGTTTTCATGTACTCCTCTGAGGAACTCCTCAGTAAGCGCATCATTAACTTGCACAATCTTTTGTGGTTACTCTAAGCCCGCCCCGGCTTTGCTGTCTTCTTAATATCTCAGTTTTACGTTACAACTTTTTCTATGCAATTTTTTATTAAAGCATTTTCCTATACGAAAGCGCACTCACACTCTTAATCATCTGCTTTATTCTTCTAATTGTAATTCCATTGTAATTATTTAAGCCTGCAGCTTTTGTACTCTGTTGTGATCACTTAAGCTGCTTCCATTACTTACTAGCGTTAATGTGCTGCCACTTTGATTTCTCGTTTTTCAACGACCCGGTCTTTCACCTCATTTGAATTTAAATATTTTAAGGATTAAAATGAATAATAAGAACAAGCAAGGACTTTATATTTAAACTAGAAAAACTACTTTATTTCCTGCTGAGTGACATCAAGTTTGAGTGCACTTGCTTTTGCTGAATTAATTAATTAATTTTTAAAAAAGATTGGAACCAATTGATAAGCTGCTTGATAAAGTTTATTCATTTAACTTGTTACAGTTTTTTTCTAGTGTATTGCTGACATGTTATCGAAGTTTATAGTTGATAATGATAATACAGGAAATCATATCTATACGATAAAGTAGCTTAGTTGTAAAAGTTTAAAGTTGTTTAGTAAAGTATAAATTTCATTACAAGTTGAATGTATATGATACTGACTTCACTTTCCCTATCGCATTCAATATCTGTGGTAGTATTACAACTTACTCAAATATTTATAAATTAAATTAAAAGTTTATTTTGAACTTACTTTTTTAAATATGCCATAAGTGAAAAAATGATGTCTTCCAGCTTAAACTTAATATCATAGATAAGACTTAGCAGGATATAAGTTTTGCCTGCATCGTTAGTTTTGAAAGCAATTATTGAATTTAATATAGTTGTAATACTAAGTAATCATATAATCAGTATATAACACACATAATATATCACTAATCATATATATGTAGTCGGTTTTGAAACCATTTGTTTTGTTATCTTCCCATACACTTCAACACTGATCGCAGGTTATAGAATTATTGACCTACTGTATTGTCACATGAAACTTAACATACTTTAAAACCATTTTAAACATTCAATAAAAACAACAATGCTCTTTGAGGGGACTGTCTGATGCTTACTTAAATCCACTGGAAAGTAAGTCTCTAGCGTGTTTAATCGAAGTTAGATATGGTCTGGGCAGCAAATATTTTTCTTTTTTGCAGATATATAAAAAATAATTCAAGGAAATACGCATCCTTGAAGAATTCAATCTTCTAGCATAGTAGGCAATAATCTTGTAATATAGGCACAATTCTCTAGAGTTGTCTCTAAATTTGTTCGGGGAAAAAGTACATTTTGTTCATACATAAAATTAGCAATCCAGATATTCAATGTCGGTCTTCATGAAAATTTTTTAGATATATTTTTAGTATTTTATATCCACTTCTCCTTATTTTTCTTTGTTACTTATGGAGGAGTATAGGATCTTTACAGTTCTTTTAAATCTTACTTTGAGAGTTGTTTTACTTACAACATTCTATATGTATTATGTAGTGGCAAGTTCAGAATCAATACCTTTTTACTAAGTTTTCGATGAGGCCTGTGGATGTCGGTTGCCTTTTGGACTCATATAAAGGTTTGTCGAGCGTTATAACCTGATTTGTTTATATTAGGTAGATTCGAATCAACACTATTTTGACTTCATATTCAGCGTTTCGTATATATCAATTTTTCCAAAGTTTTGCACTGATTATGTGGTCTGGTCAATAAATATTTAATATACACCTGGAGCATTTATTAATGAAATTATAATACATTTCACTGCCAAATAGCTATGTCGATTCAAGGCTGGTTTTTATAGATTTTTTACCATTAGGTGCCATTGATATAATACTATCTTACAATTATTAAATAAACTAATATTAAATATATTTAAATCTTGCTATAAATATTGTATACCAAATGGTTTGTATTTATTAAGATAGTAAATTATTTATAAGAAAATATTTTTCTCTAAAAGTTTGAAGTACTTGACTTCCGTTTCCAAGCCACAAATATAAAAATATAAATTTTAAAAATATTTTATAATATCTGAAAATAATTAATCAATTTATTTTGATTAAGTATTTTAGCAATTATTCAATCATAAACTGGAGAACCATGACATTATCAAAGCTTTGTCGAGTTCACATTTTATAAATATTTAAGGGTGTCTGTGCAACTCGAATTTTTACTTATATGTTATATTATATTCTATACTATATACTTGTATGTGACTATATATTCGAGTATGAGTTTTTAATGTCCATTTTTTTTTATCTTTTCATGATTTTGTTGTTGAAAAAAATTCATCAAATGGTGCCAAACACATGACGTTATCAATTTATTTTTAAAACTATTCAAACAAAAATACAATATAAAATAAAATAGCAGTTAAAATTTTAAATAACTTAAACAATTCTATGCTTATGTGCGGTAGAACCAGTAAAAAGTAATTTGCTAAAACAAAAGAAATTATTTGGACTGAAACTCAACAATAGTTCAACTTCAGAGCAATGTTAATGTATGCACATGCAATGCAATCTATAGATACGAGACTTTTTACTGCCACTTTATTTGACTGCAGTGGAACTGTAAAATATTCAAATCCAATTAATAAATCTTTACCAAGGGTTAGTCACGTCAATGGAAGTTCTACGGCTACTAACTAGTTAAGTCGGCTTTGAGAGATTAATTGAAAGTAGTTGACCTCGTATCAATAGACATTCTTGGTTATCGAGTGTGCCCAATACACTACAAAAAATTCTATATATTTCAAAGTGTTTCTACGCTTTTAAGATAAAATTTTAATTTTTTCCAGTTCACATTTCATATTGTCTATAAATAATAATTAATTCCACACACGCCTCAGTTACGGTTCCTTGCACTAATTTTTATAATCGTAAAAAAATTATTAAATAGATAAATTTAGTTAGTTTCCGCTGTGTTTTTGTTATCAGTTGAGCTATAAAATACGAACCTTGCAAATTGTGTGCTTTTTATGGCAAATCAAAACAAAGATAATATGATAATTTGTAGAAAAAAAGGCTGTAAATTATTATAGATTATTATAGAGCATTTGTTTATAATGGAATAAGTGCTGCTGATGCGTTCACGGTTATATACGAGTAGGTAAAGTATGTATATCTATGAGTCTATATAGTTATATGATAAATTATTTTAACTAATATGACAACAATAGCTGCTATTATGCTAAGTACATACATATCATGTATTAATATTTTTCTCCATATGCAATACTAACTATCTAATTGTGTTTTAAAAGTATTTGTATAATTTTTTTATCATATTCGTAGTAATGTAATTCAATAATGATAAAGTTAGTAAGACATATTAAGTTTTCAAATCACTTTTATATAATTTTATGTAAATTGTAGTATTGATACACGTAATTAGATCAAACTATTACAATAATGGTAAAATTTTATGATATTCTACTATCTACTATACTATAGTATTATTATGTTATATTATTTTTTGAAACCTATCTCAATTTTCGCAGCATTAATTAATAAATATATGATAGTAACATAAGGCTTTAAAAATCTTTAATTTATTCTTATCACAATATAAATATTAATAGTACACAAAATAAAAACGTTTATTAACAATACATTTTGATTTCTTATTTCAGCTGCCGGTTTTGGGACATAATTTATACAACTTAACAGGACTTAGACCGATAGAGTATTATTACTAAGTAGACCACAAAAATAGTATCTTATTTAAGATCAAGATTTAAAAATTAACATATCCGTTAAAGGAACAAAAGTCAACCAAATTAAGTCACAAACCGACTTTAATTTGAAAAGGTCAGGCAAACAAGCAAACAAGCAAAATACATATCAATACTAAATACTTAATGATCATAAATTACTTAAAAAGGAATTTCCGTAACAAAGGGACTTAAGGCTAATCAATAGAATATTTAACAGCAGTTAATTGAATGGCGGTCTAAATGCACTATTATGCAAACACAACAGAAGGACTTCATTTCGATGTTAACGTAATTGCATTAGCCTAAAACTATGCAACAAACAATTGCACAACTAAATAATTGCCAAATAACGTTAGCACAAACACACAAGCAATCAAATACGCAAACACAAGTATTACCGTTAATATAACTGTTAAATATAAATAAGGCGCACTCAAACGCACATAAACAAACAAATCAAATATATCAACACGAGCAGATTTGTTTTGCCGCAAGTGCTGCAGTAGTGCCATTTTATTGTGATTTTATATATTTAAGGACACACACATACGTAACCACACATACACACATTAGTCGATATGGCTCTCATATGGCGTCGCCGTTCAACTTCAATCCTCAAAATTGTCGCAATTTTAGCAGCAATTTGGTTCACCGGCGCATTTCTCATATACACCGATGATTCAAGTCAATCGAATAGCAAATGGAATGCGATGTCGTTGTCATTCAAAGGAATCGGTGCTGGTGGCAACTCCGGAGCGGGCAATATAGGCGATATGGCGAATGGTGATAGCTTCAATGGTGGAGCTGGCAATAATATTGTTGAATCAGTTATTGATGCGAATAATCGTGATGAAAGAGGTATTGATAACGTTGGCAAACATCATCGTCGTGGTAATGAAAACGTTCCCATTGAACAACCGGATGAATTGGAAGAAGGTGATTTTAATAATGATGACGATAACGCTGGTGCTGCTGTTAATAATGACATAAACGATGGTGATGAATCAGTTGTAAAAAATGTCGTAGTACATCCGAATGAGAAAGTACAACGCGGCAAGCTTATAGCAGGCAACAAACAAATCAAAAACGAACAACCACCAGATGATGGTGAGTAACAAAGTTTTTAAATTTTATTTAAAATATTTTATTTTATATGGTTTTTGGAAGAAAATATGATAATATATTGATTTTAATATTGTATATCGAAATTATGGTAAACTATTTTAAGTATTATTTACACTGCTTTGGTCCAAATCTTTAAGAAATTTTCGGACTATCAGTTTTTTAGAGACTGAACAAATGTTATATAGTGTGTTTCTTAAATAAAATGTACGGTCCCAAATTCCTTGAAGACTTAAATGTTGTTAATGCCGCCTCAACAGCCATGTCGTGAGCTACTTGGTCAATCTATTCCATATGTAGCACCTCTGACTTAAAACGCATAAGAAAATCAGAGGTATTTAGGTTAATATCTATCTTTACAGGGCATTAAACCGTAGTACGGCATGGAACGGCATGGACTTGGCCAACTCTGAGTGGTATCTCCTGTAATGCGTGTCTACCAGCTCTCGCAGAAAGGACACCAGAATACATGATGTGTTTATGTACAGGTTTGGTCAGAACTCGGCGTAAGTTTCTGGAGACCCTCTTCTTCAATACACCTGACGATATCTCTAGCATTAGCATTGGCCAGATTCTTGCGTTAATAAATGCCTTTAATTGGTTCTAGATTGACCGTCTCTCTTTTATCCACTATTACGAGGATTTGTGGATCCTAAATGGTTTTTTTAGCTAATTGAGGAGAACTTGTTCCTTCTTCCAACACAACTAACTAACTAACTAAACCTTGTTAATATTAATGTCACATACATCTAAAGTAAGGTGTACAGTCGTAATGTCTTTAAGGAACTTAATTCCGTTTCATTATTGATCTATCGGTGAGATATGGGCACAGACAACCAATCGTGCCTACTACTTAGTTTGCCTGATTTGCGATTAAAAGAAGAATTTGCTGTAAATTTGTCACTGTCGGACTTCATATTTGCATTCTCGTCTTTATGATAGAAAAAATTTCTCATTAAAATACTTAAGTTTATTGCTTCAGAAACTTTAAAGCGCTTCAAGCAAAGTAGAAAACAATGAGAAAGTTAGTAATTACAAATTGCTAAGTAGTAATCAACGAAATTCCAGCTCTACAGATACATTTGCATAAATAAATTTGTATTCGTATTGGTATTTGCCTTAAACTTAAGAAAGGCAATATTTTATTAATTTTATCAACATTGACAGAGATTGATATTCGTTTGCCATAGTACTGGCTGCCAATAAATATTTAATGATTATTGGTTTGTGCATGAAACTCTTAATAATCTAAAGTAGCTTGTCTATCATTACCAACCAGCATAAATCAATTTTAGCTGAATAAGGAAAATATATTTTATCTGATCAACTGACAAAGCTTGTCCTCTCTTGTGCAAAGCAGACTTCTAAGCACGAATTTTTCCCATGTCTAACAAACGAATCAGTAAGAAAACTTTACTGCTGCCTTAATCCGGCAATGAAGTATTTTCCCATTCAAAGCAATTCAATTCATTATTCATTTTTCCATCTTACATTTTCTTATGAAATTTATTTTCTGCATAATTTTTCTTTTCTGCTCGACTTAAAACGTAAAATTTCAATGTCAAGTTAAAAGCACCTCATGAAATGAAAAACTAAAGATTTTTATTTGTGCATGTGTAACCAATCAGGCAGACCAAGCAGAGCTAACCCACTTATTCATGAAAGGAAACCATGAGAAAGCACAACCAAAACAAACTTCACTGAATGCAAGAAAATCAATGGAGCTTGACACATTTTATTGACCGACGCACACACAAACAAACGTCTATTCAGCTATTTGCACATGACCGACCGACTGGCTTTAAAATATGGCCAAAACCAAACATTTCTGCCGTCAGGCATACACAAGTTCGTCTCTAAGTCATTGTGATGGTTAAGCGCAACAGATCTTAAGCTGCAGTTAATATTTTCGGTTGGCGAATTGTCAGACCTTTTCACTGCAGCCAACAACTCCAACCAGTTTCGGTGTTCAGAAAACACAACATATCTGTTCTTTTCCATGAACATGCCTGAGAGCACATACAAATATTGATTAAAGCTGTTTACGCTGTTCATGCTGTTCATGCCGGTTATGCCGTTCATGCTGTTTATGTTGATCCAGCAGATGTTACGAGTAGGCGCTGGAGGAGCTGTAACCAGGGAAACCTTACAAATTGCTGATTCGTTGAAATGGATTTGATTGTTTAACTTCAAAGTGAAATTTTTATGTATCCATGGATATGGAAACATTATTCTGGATTAAGTCAGTTTTTAGTTTTGGATGAAGGATTGAAAAATATTATGGGCAAAAATATTGTCTAACATAGATTAAAGATTATGGAAAATATATAACCCCCTTTCAGTATTTTCTGGTTCAGACTGTTTTGTTTCTAATAATATTTCATACCAAATAAATTATTTTTGTATCAAAAATTGTGAAAATGATCTCTATATAAGACTTTTTAATTAATATTAATCTATATTCAAAATAGAGCATTGAAATAGAAATTATGTTTGGACACATATAATTCGTCAACTTCTCAGTACAAGAGTTAATAAATCTAACTTAATTTTTCGCTCACTATTTATGCCAGAAATACTAAAATATTGGAAAATAATTTAATTTAAGAAAATTGATTTGAAGATATGAGCCAAATAGGAGAGAGAAGAAACACTTCTCGCGAAGGATGAAATATATACAACGAAAAACCTCTTATCGAGTAGCCTTGCTGAATGGACACCCCTTCTAGGTAGATAACTTTTCCAATTTAGATATTTAATTATAATATAAAAACACTTACTTAGGAGCAGGATACCACTGCGTCGTTTTAAGGGAAAACCTTCTGGCTGAATATCCTTCTCTATACGAACAAAAAATTAGCGGACAATGAATACTCACTATTTCGGATAGTGCCCAATATTCACCATGAGAGTGCTTTAAAAACATATATTGCTTTCTACTGCAAGGGGTCAAGATTTCTTATATACTAATTCAGATACTAATTTTCGTATAACTTAGCCACTGATTTGTAGAAAATCAACTTTCATATTATAAAATATATTTTTCTTTAAAAAAAGCACTGTAGTACACAATGCTAATGGAATGCCTTCAAATACCTTAGTTGGTATGTGGTAGATACCAGTGGCAGCTCGTTTCTCTAAACATATCACCGTTTTATAAAGAGCTTAAGCCAAACAAGCACTTTAGGAGTGGGTCATCCACAGAAATAGTTTCAGAAGAAGTTTAGGTGACTTGTAGCAGGTGACTTAAAAGCGGAAAGATCTGTTGCGAGTGCCCGGTAATGAGAAAACAAATGACTGACATTTTTGTGTTTTTCCTCCAACTCACAGCTACAACAGCAGTCACTGAAAGACATGACTATCCATTAGACAGTGCTTCGCCAGTAACAAACCAAATATATCAATAAATATATATCAAACAATATATATATCAAATAATAATAATAGAAATTTCAATTTTGCAGGATTATTTAAGCCTCTTCTAATACTAGTTGAGGACTTAAATTAATTAAGATCAAAACTGTTTTTTAAATTGTCTTCTAGTTGTTTCAAAATGATTCATACTTCATGATTACATATTGTAAGTGATCCATGAAACACGAAGTTACTCTCATTATAATGCTATCATTTATATGTAGGAAACAAATAGTTCTCTTTAGATTTTCTGTTGATTTCCAATTGTTTATTCAAATCTATTTGAAAATATGGTGAATGTTTTTCAAAGCAAAAACTGAGACAGACATTGTATCGTCAGTTAAGAGACGAGACTACTTATTTGCAATTCTGTTAATTCTAGTACAAGTTGTTCCATCTGCTGGAAACCCACTTTTTATGTACTCAAAAACAATCATTTAAGATCTTATCTCGGTCGAGTAGTTGAGGCGATTAAAAATACACGATATTGCATGCACTTTACTGGTGCAACATCTATTATAGTTTGTGTTGCAAGCCATTGTGCATAATCACGTTTTGACGTGCAATATTTGCACTTTCGTGTAAGCCGCTTCTAGCTTTGTCTATGCACTTCACTAAACGCACGCACAAAAACGTACGAACAGAACGTAAATGCTTGTTGTGTGATTAAAGTGCTAAAGGGTTCAATAGTATCATTAATACAATTTTTCTATTCAAACTGCTAACTTTGTGCTTAGTTGCACTAATGCCGAAAACGCATGCTGCACGCTGGAATAGAGCACAAATGTGCATATGTGCATACGTGCAAAAGGAAAATATTCTTATCTGAAAGCTATTGTTTGTGTAATGACGAGGCAGGATCCTTTCCAGAATGGCGTCAGAGTTGAAGCATTAAATTGCAAACGCTAAATACTCACTCAAGAGCACTTCACAACGCAAACGCGCTAATGCGACTACAGTAGTACCATGGACCAAAGAAGTTAAGAAGCAAAGAAGCAATGCAGCAATGCAGCATTTGCTGCATGGAAATGGTCGGTGTTGGTGTTTCAATAGTTGTTGGTGGCATTTGTGGCCAGCTCGACTGTCTGATTGAAAAGTAAAAATCACATATAAATAACCAAACTGAAATGAGTTGATGAAGATAAAGTTTGCTGATTGCAATTTCATGCTCAGTTGTTAGTAATTAGTGCTTCGGTTCTGTTTGGTTTGGTTTGGTTCGGTTCGGTTTGTTTGTTTTCCCCTTTCGTTGTTTATTGTTCCGCCTTTACAGCATTCAGTATCTTCACTTTTTTATGCACTTTTTGAATGCGCTTTTGGTGTAGTTATTGGCATTCGCAGCACTGGTATCTCCTCCATTATCATTATCAGAATTTCCATCTACATTTTCATCATCGTTTGGTTAAATTCATCAATGTGAATATTAGCAATTAACTTTAATTTATTATTGATAGCAATTTAACAGTGCAGAAAGATTTTTATACTGATAATGATTTTGTAAAATGCAGTTGTTTAAATGTATCTTTTTTATGCTGCATTTTGGCGGTAAAGTTTTTAAATTTAACGTACAAAAT